GAAAATTGGTGGGACTTGTCGACTTAACCTCAACTGACTATTAAAAACTTTATTTTCGAAAGCTGGACCAGTTTGGAACATTTTGATTAGGAACAAAATTTGGTCAAATTCACGTATGGTTTACACCTCTGTGTTTAACTATAGTATAATATACTCAGTAAAGCGAGTTGTTTATATGCCTATGCAGAAGCACGCATTACTGGTGGCAATGCAGAATATGATTAGATCGCAAGTCCGGTAGGGAACGATAAATGACAACATTTAATACATATTAATACATATTAAAACATTTTTTTAATCTCATTATTAAACTTTATAGTATATTAGTAGCATGTAAAATTCAATCTTGTCTCATTCCCCGTTGGACTTGTCATCTAATCTTATTCTGTATTACTAGTAAAGCATGTTTCTGCTCATGGGCAGACAGGCAATCTGATTTACTGATGTGTAGGTTTGGCATTACTAGTAAAACATGCCTCTATGTAATATACTCAGCAAGTTGAGTTGCCTATAGGCCTATGGGCAGGAGCACGCGTTACTGGTAATGCAGAATATGATTAGATCGCAGGTGTGGTGGGGAATGAGACAAGAGAATTCTGACATAATGTAAAATTTTATAAAATATGTATTTAATAATTAATGAATCCATCCCCAGAAAACGTCAAGTTATTTGTAACATGTATTCCACATTATACATAATAATTATTTTTATATTATTGTTATAAATAATTTTTTTTAAAATATAGATTTCCATATTGAAAATTATACTTCTTCATTATTTCATACAAATTTTATGTATAAATAAAATATTAAACTTATAATATGTTCCATATTGCAATTATTTATATTTTCATTTTAACCCTACAAAGAAAAGCTAATTATAAAAATTTAAATAATTATAAACTATTTTAATAAAATTTATGACTATAAAATTAACTTACATTATGTTAAAAATTAATTTATCAAAAATATCAATTTATAGTTAATAAAAAATTAACTATAAATTAAGATCGAACTTACGGCCAATCTCATATTCTGCTAGGATGTCGCGTGATAATTCTCCTGAGATTATGGCTAACACTCCGGAAGATGTGAATGATACAACTTCTAATCAATCTACACAAATGGTTCACATTTCTGCGGATGAGTTTGGTGAAGTTTCTCCACTTGACTCGATTAATGACAAATGGCTTGTCAATCTGAGTGACGTCGAATTACCGAAGGAAGTACAATATTTATTGCAGTTGGGAGAAGGCTTTGGCCTACCAATAGACAAAGGGAATATAGATAGGACTTTAGTAGAATTTATAAAACATATTGAGAATAATATATATGGTCGACCTAACAATGTTGTGAATTTTTTTAGGAATAAGTCCATTCCATTTCTTGACAAAATTAAAAATGAGTTTCCTAAATTTAGTTCGACTGATAAACTACTTTCAGATTGGTTTAGAATTTCTAAAGAATTTGTGAACAGTCATCCTGAAATTTTGATTAGCATAGCTGATAAGGGGAACGTTACTGTTGTTCTTGATAGGAGTGAGTATGTTGCTAAAATGGAAATGATGTTGTCAGACATTGACACTTACTCCAAAATTGATAAAGATCCTACAAAAAAATTGATTGGGGACATTAGGAATTTGCTTGTCAGATGGAAAAATAGACAGTACATTGATGATACTGCTTATCGGAGATTGTTGGCGACCGATGGGAGTATACCTAGGGCATACGGTTTAACCAAAATCCATAAACCAGGTCACCCTTTGAGGATAATAGTTTCTTCGATTAATAGTCCTTTATATAATTTATCTTACTACTTGCATAAAATTATTAATGACAATATACCTGAGACACCAAGTTCTATAAAGAATAGTTTCGACCTTATTAATAAAGTCAAAAATGTCAACATTGATGAGGGTTACAGTTTGGTTTCTTTCGATGTCGTTTCTTTATTTACAAACGTTCCTATAGAGTTGGCTACTGATAGTGTCGTGGGTAGATGGGAATTTATATCGGGAAAGACAAAAATACCTTTAGATGAATTTCTAATAGCCTTCCGCCTGGTTCTTAATTCAACCTATTTTGTATTTAACAAAGTGATTTACAAGCAAATATTTGGAACTCCTATGGGGTCCCCTTTGTCACCGGTGGTTGCCAATATGGTTATGCAGGACCTTGAGAAAAAAGCGATTGATAGGTTACCTTGCAGATTATTGTTTTATTACAGGTATGTGGACGATATCATTATGGCTGCTCCTTCTGTGATGATAGTTGATATCTTGGAGATTTTTAACTCGTTACACGCACGTTTACAGTTCACGGTTGAGTTTGATAGGGAAGGTAGGATTAGTTTCTTGGATACCTTACTTATTGTGGAGGAGGGGAGATTGGTTTTTGATGGATATCGGAAAGCCACGTTTTCAGGCAGGTTTTTAAATTTTAATTCACATCATCCTATTTGTCACAAGAGAGGCGTTGTTTATGGAATTGTTGACAGAATCATCCGGTTATGTCATCCTCGTTTTCATAAAGTAAATTTAATTAATGCTATCCAAATTTTTTTGAATAATGGTTATCCAATTCAATTCATTTTTTCAGCGATTAATAATAGAATTAAGTTTCATATTAATAATAAAAATTTAACCAATATTAACAAAGTTAAAGATAAGTTTTTTACAATTCCATATGTTAAGTCGATATCTGAGAATTTTTTACCACTCACTAATGTTTTTAATTGTAAATTAGCTTATACAATTCCTAACACTCTTAAAGGGCTAATAAAGAGAGGCAAAGATAAATTAGAACCATTAAAAAATCAGAACGTTGTGTATAAGATCTCTTGTGATGGGTGTGATGTTAGTTATGTTGGACAAACGAAGAGGCGTTTGCAAACGAGGGTACAGGAACACATCTCCGATATTAATAAGACGTCTAAATCTCCGTCGGTTATTTCTAATCATCGATTAGTAGAAAATCATGATTTTAGATGGGATGACGTGAAGGTTTTGGACATCGAACCATCGTATAACAAAAGATTGATTTCGGAGATGGTGCATATAAAGAGACAACGACATGGAATTAATAGACAAATTGATACCGAAACTTTGCCTGAAACATATCATAATGTAATACAATCGCTTTCTCCTTCTTAGAGACTTTTCATGTTCCCCTCCCTACGAACAGTTTCGGTGGTTGCCGTTTGTCTCCGTGATCATTACGAGTTGAGCCTTTGTTGTGAATGCTTCGGCCGGTATTATATTTTCATATTCGTCCTGTGTGCTGGCATTGTTAACTCGCTCAAATATAAATTTAATAAAAGTCTAATGTAATTGAAGATGTTACTTAAAAGTCTAATGTAATTGAAGATGTTACTTAAAATTGTGAATCTACAGTCTGTAATTACTCACAGGTAATGTTACGGTCTGAATAATCGGACAATTTATTACATATACAGTCATTTATTATATCTAATATGTTTATCATGTATTTTTTACGAATTATAGAATCGGTTTTGTTTTATATTACTGAACTTGAATACATCTCAACATCTTATCAAATTGGTCTAAAATAACTGTTTTATTTATTACTATGAAGATTTTTATACAAATTTTTTTATTGTATTGCGTACCTCAGTATACAATACTGGACTTTCATCTTGTGTCCAAAGCTGTAATGTTTGAATTTTTAACTTTTGACTATTTCAACGAAGATATATTGATGACTGTGGAATTTGTGTTTTTTAATCTTGTGAGTAATATATTTTTAATTTTTCTACTAATTATTAGATAATTTCAATTAAATTTTTGTAGCACTCTCTTGAGTGTTACATGCCTTTATAATTACAGTTTTACATAATTTTACATATATTAATTGTTATTTGTCTATTATGATTTTTAATTTTTATCAAGTAATTTATTGTGACTGAATTTAGTATTCGCGGTTTCTTCTATACACACTTATTTCCGAGGAATCAGACCTACAATGATACTACCCAAATTTCTTCAAGTGGCGATATTTCAAAAACTTTATTCTGTATATTATATTAATTTATGTTATCATTGAAAATGACCCGATCGGGTTCGAAACGTTTGTTAATTTTGTTGGCTAAATTTGTATGTATGTTCTATTATTTTAATATATATATTTGTTGTTAATTTTTTATACTTTGGCTCTTTGCCCGTTCTTTACTTGAATTTATTTACGATCGTAGAGCCTTATTACTATTTATATTTATAA